AGTGCAGTGCCTCCACACACTGTCTCCCTGCTCTCATCGGGGCGGGTCACAGTGGCTTCCAAGGGCTTCCTGGTTGTCTGTTCAAAAGCAGCCTGGTAGCAGTGTGGTCCAAGCTTTGTCAGCTCTGCCTGGCCAGAACTGTGTTCCCTGTCTTCACCCCCCTCACTCCCCTCCCCACCCCACCCCTCCTTGCATGAGGTGCCACAGCCATGTGAGTAGCGGGTGCTGCTTGGGCCTGGCATCCTGCTCCAATGTGGGATCACAGCCTTGTGGCTTTGTTCCTCAGTAGTCCCTGCAGAACCTTTCTGGGCATTCACATAAATGGGTCAGGGCACGAACAGTGTGTGGCAGCTCTGTGTGTGTCCGAGGGGCCGCTCAGAGCCCTGATGCGTTTCCTCCAGAACTGCAGACCTCACAGGAGCCCAGGGCAGTGCAGTCATGTTGGCTGTGGGCAGAATATAGGAGGCATGCCACATGCTCTGACCATGTCCCACCCCACCAGATGTATCCCTTTGGCTTCCTAGAGATCCTAGAGGATCCCACCTGAGCTCTGCTGTGGGGGTGCCTTTGGCACCGCACAGATCCCTGCCCCACGGTTACCAGGCTCATGCCCAGGAAGGTGTTCTGCACCTCGGCCCTTCGGTATTCAGCAGCCCCCTCCTGCCACCCCCTGACCCTGGTGGTCTCCATGTATCTTAGCAGGCAATGCCCCCAGGATCTTGGCACCAGAGCTGGCACTTGGCTGCAGGGCTGGGGAGGACAGTAATAAACCTGTCCTGAAACTGCCGAGGAGCCTCCTGCATCCCTCTGGGCTCTGTATATGAGATGAACGGGGGTTGGCAGGTACCAGAGGCCAGGATACAATCTGTACTCAGCCACTTTGCTGCTCCCTTCCCAAGGTGGGGGCCACAGCTCATGTTATGCCCAGCCCAGGGACCATTAAAACAGCTCCTCCCCATCCTGTCCCTAGCTGGAACCCACGGGTTGTGGGGCCAGACTGCGTGGCTTTGGCCACTTTGGGGAGGCTTTTGTGCTGCTCCCTGCACCTCGGTTCATGCCAGCCCCAGAGCTGCATTCAGCCTAGTTCCTGCGGGCCCATGAGTGTACAGGAAGGTCCCTGGCTGGTTCTAGGGAAACTACGGCCAGGTCTGCTCAGCACTTTTTCATTTGACTGCCTAATTTCTTCTGCTTTCCCCCTGCAGCCCAGCCCTTGGAGGAGCCAGGAGGGGACAGGTAAGCTCAGCTGCTGCAGCGCTGCCCGAGGGCGGGTGTGGGGGAGGGAAGCTCCCAGCTGCTGAATCCTTTTCCGTCTCCTCCTGCCCCCTCTCGGACCTTGTCGGTATTGCCCTCATGGTCCCGGAGATGCCTTCCCCTGAGCTGACCCCAAGCGGGGTCTGCAGCAATCCCAGCTTGCTGGCTCAGGGACTGTGCTGAAAGATGCTAGAAAGCTCAGTGCTCTTCACATGGTGCCTCTGGCCCTTGAGCCGCCAGGATTTCTGGCCTAAATAAAGCTCAGCAAAGAGGATCTTGTCCTGGCCTATTTTAGGAATCCCCCGAGTGGAGGAAATCCCTCGGATTGACTGGCAGGGCAGCAGTGCCATCTGTAAGGGCCTGCCTGACGGCAAGTACCGAGCTGTTTATCTGTTGGCCCTGAGTTCTGGGGTGCAGCTCACCTGCTACAGGGGGCCAGGGGCTCCTGATGTCCTGTCCCAGCTCTGATGCTGCCTCTCCCTGCGCCTAGGGGCAGACTTCACCCCTCTGCCTGGGTGTCCCAGCCAGTCCAGGGGGAGGGGGGTTGATTGTACAGCAGCAAGGTGCCAAGGTGTACACTGGTTGAGAGCAGCTTGGCTGTACCCTGTCAGATCCCAGGTACCCTCAGATCCCAGTATCCTCAGAGCAGAGGGACTTCATTAGTGTCCTTAAGCCTGGTGCTTAAGGCTTATAAGGGTTCCTGCGTCTGCGGTGCTGCCGGCAAAGGGGGCTGCGTCACAGCTCTGCCCTCTCATACTCATGTCTTTGCCCAGTGAGGGGGCGACAGGGGCCCAGCCCCACCTGCTCAGCGTCCCGGAGCTGTGCCACTGTCTGGCTGAGAGCTGGGTCACCTTCAGGCTGTACCTGCAGGAGCTGCTGCAGTACAAGAGGCAGAATCCGGCCAAGGTAACTCGGGCCCATTCATCTCCTCCCCACAGGAACGGCTTTGCTGTCTTTGTCAGCTTCCTCCTCAGTGGCCTGGGAGAACAAGGGAGGGCCGTGAGGGCCTGGCATCTGGGAATCCATTGTACAACTTGGCGGGTGGCTATGCCAGGTGCCCATGAGAGGGGAGCTGCACCCAGGGGTGGGAGCAGGGCAGGCCTTGTCCTCTGAGAAGATAGAGGGTGCGGAGCTGCTTTGCTAGTCCCCCTACCCCAAGACTGGGGCTACTGCAGTGTCTCCAGCGGTGGGCCAGGAGGCAGTGGCCAGTGGACTGTGGCTCACACCAGCATCCTTCCCATGTGGCAGTTCACAAAGGATCCCAAAGCTTGACAGCAGCCTGCTTGGTGCGTAGGGCCTGGGGACCACTGCCCTCAAACGGTTGACCTTGCAGGATGTGTCTGTGCTGCTCCAAAGAGCTGAGGACGGCCAGGCTGAGCCTTGCACCCCTCCCAGCTCATCTGAGCTGCACCTGGGGCTGGGCAGGTGCTCAGCTGCTGGGAGGAGTCTCGGGTCCCCTGGGCTGGCTGTGCCCGGTCCCCCAGTGTGTCATGGGAGGGCCCAGCCTCTGACAATGCTTCTGCCATTACCGTCCCGCAGCTTCCCTGGGCCATGGCACCAAGTGTCCCAGAAAGCGTCGGCCCAGGCCCCAGGCTGTTGCAGGCCTCCCAGGCACTTGCCCTTATGCTGCGCCCCAGTGCTGAGAGCTCTCGTCAGGGGCACAAGTCCAGCTAAGGCCTTTGCGTCACCTCCTGTGCCTTAACACTGGTGCAGCTGGTGAAGCGCCGCTGAGCAGGCTCCTGGCACCTGCTGTACAGGCACTTTCTGCCCCTTTATCACAGAGAAGTGGAGTGGGCAGTGCTGTGGGGTCACATCCAGGCCAACCCCTGCCTGAGGCAGAACCAGCCCCATCCAAACCACATCAGACAAGCCCTGTGTCTGACCTCTGAGCCACACATCTGTCACCCCTGACACGGCACTGGACATACCTCTCTTCACCCCTCTCTGTCTATCCCCCAGTTCTGTGCAAGTGTCTGTTCAGGCTGCCTCACCCTGGCTGTGGTCGGGCACTATGTTCCAGGCATCATGATCTCCTACATCATCTGTGAGTAGACGACATGTAGCCATGACCTGGCTGTGCTGGCAGAGGGCTCGTGACCTTCCCATTGGGTGTCCCACGCTAGATAGGTCACCACGCGGCCCTCTTGCCCCTAGGCCCTCTAGGGTCCATTGCTGCTTGCCTTGGGCTGTTAGCAGTGCCGCTGTGTAGCTGGTTGAGGGAGCTGTGGTGAAGCAAAGACCTTCCCCACTCCTCAACAATACTGCTGGATGCCCAGAGGCAAAGAAATGGTGTTGTATTTGGCCTCAGCAGAGCCGAGCCCACGTGTGCCGGCCCTGAGAGGGGAAAGGGTTGAGGAAGGCGGTTGTGTATTCAGTGCTCAGCCTGGCAGAGGCAGTGGGGAGCAAGCTAGCAAAGTGCTATAAGGACCCACAGCTTTTAAGCCTCCCCTGAAGGAGCTGAGCCATGGGAAGAGAGGCAGCTGGCCATGTTGGCAGTCATGCAGACAGCAGGGCAAGGTGGCACCTTGGAGACTGACTCATTCGGAGAGGCAGGAGCTTCCATAGGCAACAGCCAACCTGCGCAGGCACTAAGCACTAGCTTTTAGTTAAGCTCATGACTCCCTGAATTAATCTCCGAGGTGCTACCTGCCAAGAGGGAAGCATGGAGCTCTTCTCTCCATGCCCCCCAGGACGCCTGGGCTCCGGCTGGCTGCAGTTGGCTGTAAGTTCCAGGCTGCTGCTATTTAAAACCATCTTTAATGCACATTTCAGATGAAGTCAGCAGGTAGAGAGCTGTAGCTCCCAGCACTTCCCACAAGCTGGGACTGAGGCACACTGCCTGAGCCAGGGAGGGCCGAGCCGAAGGCATGGTGCTGGGAGTGCCCTGCCTGGGAAGGCTCTTTAGCCCCGTGTGGGACAGGAGCCAGGCCCCTTAGTAGAGCTGCAGGCGGAAGCTCTGTTCCAGCAGCAGGCTAATGGGCCCGGCTTCTCTTGTCTCTCCAGTGCTCAGCATCCTGCTGTGGCCGCTGGTGGTTTACCATGAGCTGATCCAGAGGATGTACACGCGCCTGGAGCCTGTCCTCATGAAGCTGGACTACAGCATGAAGGCCGAGACGCTGCATCACAAGCATGAGAAAAAAAGTGAGGCGCTGGCTTCTCCCCCCACGGGTCAACCAAGGGGAAGGGCAGGGGGGCACATACATGCATACAAGAGCGCAGTCCAGCTGTTGTCAGATGGGCTGTGCTCAGGCTGGGAGGTGGCACTGAGGAAATCTCCCCAGCGTCCTTGGGAGACCTAGCGGAGCCTGGCAAGGCTCTAAGGAATGACCAGTAGGGAACAGTCCTGCCCGGGTTTAAGGAAGGGGCAGCAACAGGTGTGATGGAGCCAGGCCACAGGTGTGTAAAGTGGTCCCTCTACTTCTGTCCTTAGGACGGCAGGGCAAGAGTGAGCCGGTGACCGGCGATGACCCGATGGCAGAAACGGAGAGCGAGAGCGAGGCAGAGCTGTCCGGCTTCTCCCCACTGGTAAGTGCAGCAGAGAGGCCAGGCAGGCTGCTGCTCCTGCACCTCCCAGGAGAGCCCAGTGCAGCAGGGCCAGGCTTGTGGTGGCAGCAGCAGAGCCAACGTGCAGCTGCATCTCTGGGCACTGGCAGAGACTGGAGTGAAGGCACCAGAGCTCCTCTTGGAGAGGGGCTGTTGTCACTGACTTGCCCACTGGTGTTGCATCACGGTTGCCTAGGCACAGCCTGTGTGAGTGCGGGTCCTGGGGGCTGTCATGCAGTGGGTGCATGGGGAAGGCACTGTCTGGCGCTGCTCTCAGGGCCTGCTCATGGGCTGTGGTCTTTCCCTGCCACCCTCAACCACCAGGAGATGTGCAGCCCTGGGTTATTCCCACCTGGGTCGCATCACCTTGGCTGCAGCATCTGGCAGATGGAGGCTGGGGTGGGAATGGGAGGCCTTGGCCCCTGTAGTGCTGCAGATGCCCACCCTCTGCTCCCCTCCTTCGCAGGTGGATGTGAAGAAGACAGCACTGGCCCTAGCCATCACAGACTCGGAGCTGTCTGACGAGGAGGCTTCCATCCTGGAGAGCGGGGGCTTCTCCGTGTCCCGGGCCACCACCCCACAGCTGACGGACGTGTCTGAAGGTAGGCAGCAGATCCACACCCCCGTTACCCCACATGCTGTCATGATGTCTCCTAGGAGCAAGTCCGTTCCGTCCATCCCGTATCCCCACCCCAGCCTTGCAGCAGGGCAGGGGGGAGCCAGGCTACTTGGAGGTGGAGGAATAGGAGAGCCAGGCAGGGCTCTGCCCAGTGCCAGACTTGGTCGAGGGCTGCCTGGTGGGGAGGGGACCCGGCACCACCACTCACGCCGTTGTCTTTCAGACCTGGACCAGCAGAGCCTGCACAGCGAGCCGGAGGAAGCCTTCTCCAAGGACCTGGCGGAGTTCCCCTCGGTGGAAGAGTACCATTCCAGAGACCTGGGTCCGGCGGGCGACGAGGAGGCCTTTGGGGTGCCCCTGGGTCCCGACCTGGCCCATGCTGCCCGCGAGCTGGACTCAGCCGAGAAGGAGGCAGCAGACGCTGACCTGGCACTGCTGCGCCTGGCGTCTCCGCTCCACTTTGTAAATACGCACTTCAATGGGACCGGGCAGGCGGCGCCCAGCAGTGCAGAGCCCCCGCCCACCTCGGCCCCGGGCCTCGGCCTCCACCTCGATGCGCTGAGCCAGGAGATCGTCACCACGGCCATCAGCACGGTGGTGCAGAACACCCTGTCGGCCCTGCTGCGCTCCTCAGAGGCCAGCGAGGGGCCATCCCTCTCCGAGTTCCTCCCCGCCGAGCCGGAGGAGAGACTGAGTTTCCAGGCGCAGCTGGGTGAGGGTGAGGGCGAGGGCGAGGCGGCGGGGGCCGGGCCGGTGGCATCACCCCAGGACGAGGACGAGGATGAGGACGAGGAGGCGGACGACTTTGAGCTGCTGGATCAGAGGGAGCTGGAGCAGATGGATGTGGAGCTGGGCCTTGGAGAGGGGCAGGGAGCCCCAGAGCCTCCTGCCCCGGCTGAGCTGCCAAAGCAGGAGGAAGAGGGGGCGGCAGCAGCTGTGTCCTAGGCCTGCTCCGCCGCCGCCGGACAGGAGGACGGCGCTGTGGGGGTGGTGTGTGGGTCCTGGTTGCCCGGGCCGGCCGAGCGTCAGTGTTACTGTGCTGTGTCTGGACTGCCCACCCCCGCATCTTCCCGGGCCCGACCTCGGGCTCCTGCCCAGCCCCTCACCCCGCTGGCACGGAGCCGGCTGGGGCCCCTTGCCTCGCCTCGCCTCGCCACGCCAAGCCGCCTGCGCGCTTCCTCGTCCTGGTGCAGTATTTGGGTCGTCGTCCGTTCGTCGTTGTTTGCACGCGTCCCCGGCTAGGTGCTGCTGCCGCTCGCTCCCGCGGCCCCCGACGGGCAGATGTGGAGGGTTTTAATGGCTCAAAATGTGTACAGAATTTTAACTGTCTG